ATTTAGGTGCGTGACTATAGACGGGGAATGGAGTGTTGAATAGATTTACTGACCACTTATACACATCTCTCGGAACTACGAGTAATTATAAAGCCATCGTTTATCTCCACACTTTACAAATAACTAGCATAAGCTAAGTTTTCCCTGTCTTCACTATTCGTATCCTGGCAACGGATTTTAACACCGTAATTATAACAGTCTCACTGTAACTACAAAACACATAAAGTCTTCTCTTCACAGTCAGGTTTGCAACTAACTCTTTGTCAAATGACAATTATCTGGGTCTGAGTTAAAATCAAAGTCACATTGCGACTGACGGTTAGTCAGTCAGTAAGTCTTGGTGTCGACCACATATGGGGCTTATGACCAGATATTTATTGCTGTTTGACAGTTAGGGTCTTATTTTTGTGGAGCGCCCTCTCTGACGAGAGGATGGGTTTGTCTTTTTTATATGCTGCTGGCCTTGCCAGCGCAGTCTTTCTGGGTCCTACTTCTTTTACTGTCTCAGATTTGAGACTTCCATTTTTGTCGCCTCCTACGACTCACAAGGTCACGGTGGAGGTATTCGATCCCGCCACCACGCGGGTTTGTTCGCCTCAGTTATATTCAAGATAACTCCTCGGCACGAATCACATAGAAAACACAACAGTTTCCATTATTTCAGTCCAACTTCTGCAGCTGCCTAACAACGGGTTGCATAAGAGCGTTTCCACTATTGCTGTAGAGGCGTGTTTACAGCTCCATTGCCTAGCCACATATCTTGTCTTGTTGTTTGTTTCGAAGTCTTGGCCTAGCAACTGGTGTATACGCGATAATATACTCATTGCATACCGTGATGTAGGAATTTCTGGAAAGATTCTTAAACATGACGGTGGAGAGGTTTTAGAAACTCGTTCAGCTACCACAGTTGTAAAGTTTTGTGTGGGACGTTATGCCCAAATTTTGCTGATATCATTTCATAAATTTTAACAACTTGCAGGTACAATAAAATTAGGTCTATATAATAAATAAAGAGAGATTCAATCCTGGAATTCTTGAAATAACTATGTACATATTAGTGTTACTTTAGAATCAGAAATATGAAGTCTCAGAACAAGAACAAAGAAATAGGATGGAGACTGTTGAAATGAAGGCAGTAAGAGCATTTGTGGGTTTTACTTTGTTTAACTGCAAATACAAATAAAAAATTAGTGAAGGAGCTTTATTGTAAATATCACAGACATAGTGAAAGATGTGTAGAACTGGTTGTTCGCCCAGAGTTATAAACCATCATACACCTACACGCAACAGAAGCACTGGACAACACAAGAAAGGCTCCAGTGACATTATTTAAAGCCCTGCAATAATTTTAAGAGCGTTGCAATTGTTCCTTCACCACCATTGTCTTTATTCTGTCACCTGATATGAATTATGAAGAGAGAATTTTAGGACTCTAATGGTGAACAAGGTGCTGTGGTCTAGGCGCCGCTGCGCTGACTGTCCTACAGGACACGTGATACCGCTTACCGTGTGGTTTAGTTTGCGTTAACCCACTCCAGAACTCTGTCAACTGACCTGGATTAAACCATCTCTCTGAGGACCGTTCAAAACGCACACACATACACGTATTACCATCCCAAAGTCCAGCATGCATAGTTCAGCACCTATTATTAAAACAAGGTTCCATCCAGCGCGTCTGCAGTCCTTGGTTTCTTATTCAGGTCTGTGTAAGTCTCTTGGTGCAGGTAAATTGCATTTGCTACTCAACATTTACCTGGATGTTGTTGCAGTGTTTTTAAACTATTTAATTATGTACAATTTACTGGTATCTAACTAGATAGTTAGCTCTATGGAACAGAGCAATAAGTGAGAAGGTTGAACCAGCTCAGAATTTCTCTTCCTCCTACGGAAGTCAAACATTCATCACCGTGCTCATAAAAGCGTACACTGGATTCTGTTTCAGCCAGTTGAATCTACTCGTAATGTACACCCTCATAATCTATTCAATTAAGATGTGTTTCAACATTAGTTTTACATCAGGTGATACGCGGTAGCGTAGTTCGTTGAGGCACCATGCTACAAGCCGGAATGTCGCGGGTTCGAGTTCCGATGAGGAGGGATTTTTTCAAATTACTTAATCCTTCCAGCAACACTATGTCCCTGGGTTCGACAGCCTTTAACAGAAAGGAGTACCAGGAATCTTCCTGGGGGTAAAAGGCGCCCGGCGCTTAAGGCTAACAACCTAACCGTCATCTGTGAGCTGATTGTCTAGAAGATATGGGAGCCTCAACCTTTCGCAACCATATGGGCCTCCACGGCCTGTTACACGGATAATTTTAGTTTTACATCGTTCTAGCAAGTTGTCTCTTTCCTCTATATCTTCCAGGTGGTATGAACACATTTCGTTAGTCATGTTGGTATTTCTGACTTCCCGTGGGAGGTACAGATGCATCTATATATTATCAACTTTTCTGTTTCGTATTATATATATATATATATATATATATGTTTTCATACAGAGATGCGCTTTTGAGAAATCTGTACTGTAAAAAGTTGAATGCTACAAACGGGTTGTAGTAGATCGACTTGCATATCTCCCAATAACTTTTAAAGAAGAGAACCGTAACAGTTCTTACAAAATGCCTTTAAGTTGTCTGCGAGAGGACATGATCTACATAAAACTGGACACGTAGACGGCCAGACATGGCATCTCAAAACTCGTTCTCAATGTACACGTGATAAACAACATATGAATACTACGGGTTGCGAAATATTTTGGATCAATATTATTGGCACGTAGAACCACACTGTAGATATTAGGAAGCAAATTAAAAATGTATCTGAGGGAAACGAGTTGTCAATCTAAAAAACAAAAACAAACTCCTTGGCCTGTAGTCCGCAAGCGAACTATACCGACCGAGAGACCGCCGCTTGTCGGCGAAGTTAGTGGCAACTTTTGGGGATAGCGGGTGTCACATGGTCAGCGTAACGGTTCCCTACGGCCGTTTATCTCGGCTTTCTATGCTGGAGCCGCTATTTCCTTGAAATAGCTCCTCAATTATCCTCACGAAGCTGAATGGAACCCGTTACAGTCCCACTACTTCTCAAAAAATCTTGTAGATAATGGAATTGAACCCGAGACCTCTGGATCTGTAGCCAGGGACTCTGGCCACTAGACCACAGAGAGTCTCAATTGTGTTAAACTGACTCAGAATAGAGTCCAGGGGAGAGAAATTGTGAATACGGTAATGAACCTTGTGGTTCTTCTCTAGCCGAGCGATTATCTCCCTCTCAGGAAGGGCACTGTTCCATGGAGCTTGAAATACAGAGTGTCAGGATGAAACGTATCCAAAATAAAATAATGATATCTCAGAAACTGTATTAAATGTTAATGATCAGTGCAGTGTGACAGCTACGTGAAGTGAAATACACCTGATGATGGCCGGTTGCGGCCGAAACATGTGGTATGAAAGAAGGGGAACAAGAACTACAACGAAGTACTGCATTTACGACGGAGTTTGTATTATACATATAGAAATATCTCAGAAAGCTTTTATTATACACATTAATGGGTTACACCACTACAAAAGGAAACTATCAAAGTTTTTTGTGAGTACACAACTTTCTCAATACATTTCAACTTGGGCTATCTTGCAGGCACGACAAATATCAAGACGATCCAGCACGTATGTTGTTACCAACGCCACAGCGTCCCTTATGCGGGTTTTCAGGTGTTGAAGGTCGCTGATCTTAACCTGGTAGATAATGTTCTTCATATAACCCCACAAAAATAAATTCAGTGGAGTTAAATCTGGCGACCTGGAAGGCCCAGCGATTGATCCAGTTCTGCCGAAGTATCTCCCAGCCATCACTCTGTCCAAGTGATTCCTAACGTTGTGGCTCAAATGTGGAGACGCGTGCGCGTAAGCCGGGCATGGAAAACAAACTTACAGGGTTTTCCTTTCCGATAACATAAACCGGATACGTTTATGACAATTACTTTCCGAGATATATTTTTCTTTATTTTAGATGGTACCTTCCATCTGGACACCCAATATTAATAGGGTAGAAAAATGGAATAGTGTTAAGTAATTATGAAAATGTTAAAAGGGGCAGAGCAGACAAATTCTGAAAAATTCTTGAAAACAATAAAATGATACTTACGTAGTGTATGCACTCCCCCAGTAGTTGTGTCATTATATGAGTCATAATATACAACGAGAGAATTGATTGGTAAGGTAAAAACACAATAGTTGCATATTACCATGTCCTAGACCTATTCTTTTAAAAGCGCTACTCCCACAACAGATTGCAAATAGATATCGTATTATTCTACACACAGGTCTAATATCTTAGGTACGAAATATGCACAGGCTAATGCTGTAAGCTTAGATACAGGGCTGTTCGGCTTCAAATCACTGGAGGCCCGCATTTTGCAAGAGGTACCTACTAGCGGACAGCATTACAAAAAATGTATACTTTCTCCATATACCCACAACACTGCCCTTTAAGTATCAAACGTATGAAGAACGAATACAAGATTATGAATTAGGCCCATGTATTCTAAAACAATTACAGGTATTTAAATTGAATGTTACCTGATCGATATTGCCATTGGAATCTGTCGGTATAGCGACAGGCTACGGTCTGGACGACCGGAGTTTGATTTCTGTAAAGGGAAGGATATTTTTCTCTTCTGCACTGTACCTAGACCGACTCTAGTTTCCACCCTACCTCCTATCCAATGTGTTCCGCAGCTTCTTACCGGAGGTAAAGTGGCTGGAGCTTAAAGCTGAACACTTACCTCCATCTAGTGTCGAGGTGAAGAATGCTGCAGCTATACCTGAACTTCCCATAAGCCTTCATGGGGTGGTGTTTAATTAGTTGGGCACAGGGACAACTTTATAAACCCCTCACTTTATAAACGTTACCTCCAACGTTTACTGCACTAATAGCTTTGTATTGCAATATGCAGCAAGAATTGCTTGTTACCTGACTTTGCATTGACGTTGTGTTGATAGGAGACAGACAGCAGAAGAGAGAGAGGCTGAGCGGCAAGCAGCCAATAGGCTTATGATGTCCCTGCAGGCAGAAGCACTTAGCAAGGGGATGTACCACACGGCAGAGCGAGGCACAACGCCGGGGGATACAGCGCTACATCTGCACCACCACGCGGCGACCGGGGCAAACAACACTTCTCTTAGCGCCCTGCAGAACCTACAGCCTTGGGCAGGCGGCGGTCCGGCTCCCACCCTGCAGCCACCACCTGCAGATCATCACCATCAACCGCCTCAACCTCCACAGCCGCCACATTACAGCATAAATCCACCTCCGCTAGCCTCACCTATATGCTAAGCAAGCCTGTGATTCAGTTGCGCACTGTTGAGAGACGCACCCCGTCTTCTTTTTATTACATTCGCGACAGACTGGACTTCCCGGAGGCATGGAACCGACAAGCAGAACACACGAAGAGCATATAACGACTGACAAATACCTCTGCCGTGACACAGAACACTAAAATTCAGCCACTCACAATCATGTACCACCCTTTTCATTCATACTCGATACTCACACTTGCCCTACCGTAATTGTCTGTTTCCACTAATAGTGTTGAAAATAAAGTCTAAGAATTATAGATATGCTGTGACACTGGGACAGTAACTATTGAAATGCCAATCATGGAACAAAAACGGAGTGTTGATTCTTGAAATTTTCAGTAGTCTATAAAGACGAATCTGGTAACATTTCTTTCTTGTGCCCGAATTTCACACTCGTGTTCTTTTTGTCTGTTGCAAGCAATGTTGAAACCATTTCTAATATGCAATACACATGGCCCTTCTCCTATTGCCTGAAACAGGGTTTTACTTCTAGGACCTCCCCTCGGGTTAGAGATATTTGAAGCGAATTATATATCGACATTTAAGGACAGAAATATTGAAGAACTGCTGAGTGATATCTACAACAATTTGTTATTAATAATGACTTAGCTATTCCGTTGTATGTTAACTATCCAGCAACTAAGTAGTTATATACGAATTTTGACTAAATGACTCCCAGCTAGAAGACTCGGTCAATTTCGTTGTACTAACGATGAATTAACTTGGCACTCAGAATATGTTAATTCTTATACATTATTAGCACCGTAATTAGAACTTTGTTATATTAGACACAGATAATTGCTATAAATATTGTACTTTTTTGGCTTATTTTGGACTTCATCCATCGTCTAGCATGTAAAAGACAAAAGAACACGACTTTTCGGAGACTGGATCTGTCTCCGTCTTCAGGTGGGTAGGGACCAGTGATTGAGACTAGCTCTTTCTAACGGGCCCAACTGAGTAGGTTTATCCTTCCCTACCCTCCTGAAGACGGAGACAAATCCAGTCTCCGAAACCTCGTGGTCTTTTGTCTTTTACATGTTAGACGATGGATGAAGTCCAAAATAAGCCAAAAGAAGTACAGTATACACCATCGTCAGAATTCTTTCAAGTCTATCTATAAATATTGTGTATGTGGGACAAAATGGGTGTTGTGCATCACAGAAAATTCCTCAACAGTCACGGAAAAAAAACAGTTTCATTAAGATAATTCCGCGATAGGTTGATTTATGCCAGAACGTACATATTTGAACGCAATTTTGAATCGATTATAAATAATGGAACTTTGAGGATCACTGTTTAAAATCAATTACATTTTTTCATCTGGTAATTTATCACAATTAAACACAACAAATTCGGATATATGAATGAAGGTTATTTTTTTCACATTTCTCTTTGCAGTGTGAAACATTTCGCCGCCCGTAGGTCATGTTAAATCCAAAATTACAGGGTTCTAAAAAAATTCACTTGGGGGGGGGGGAGTCAAACTGGGTCCACTCAGCACGGCGACCACTGATTGGCCTATTGTACCTGCCCCTGGTCATTATGATGATGGAGTATTTGGTGGAATGAAGATTGGCAGGGGAAACCGAAGTAGTCGGAGAAAACCCTCCCTAGCGCCACTTTGTCTACCACAGATCCCACTTGACCAGACCCGGCATCGAACACGGACCGCCGCGGTGGGAAGCCAGCGACTAACCGCTTGAGCTATGGCGTGACCAATTTACAGGTTTGCTTCTCAGTTATATAGCCAACGATTTCAGTTTCCTCATCCGAGGTGAAATTAAACGGAATTCCTCTTTTTTTCAAAATTAGATCTTCCTTAGCTGGAGAAGATATCAACAGCCTTTCCTTAAGAATATTGGTGGCAGAATCTTGCATTTCTTCGAGGCCTGCGCACTGTCCACCCGCCCTACAAAATTCTTCCGGTTACATCTTGTACTTCGTCTTCTGACTAGTTCTTCCTTGCCCCTGGCATGATGAAATCTGAATAACAAAAGAAAATATTCCGTGTCTTTAGTCGGCAAGCGAACTGTACCGACCGATCCACAGCCGCTTGTCGGCGAATTTAGTGCTAATTTTAGCGGATAGAAAGTGTTGCGTGGTCAGTTTAATGAAACCCCAAGGCCTTTAATGAAATCTGAATAACGCAAAAATATATCGCCGAGGAGCAATGAACATTGTAGTGGAGCGAATTTATTACCTCTATATTAACTCTTGACGTAATGTTTGTTTGCAGTTGTTTCGCAACGTCTGAAAGTAGCATCCAGCCTCATATATAAGAATCTTACTTCAAAACGTAAACTCCGATGACTACTGCAAGCATCTGTGAGTGCAAAACTGTATACATGTCGGTAAGAAATTCTGTGCATTCAATTCAGTCATGCAAGCAAATTAAATCTAATCGATATCCACATTTAGCAGACCATCTTGAAAATATGTAAGAGATGGCAGTACTGGCTGTGACTAATAACACTCATACTGGGGAAGTAGCAAATTTTTCTACAGAAATGATGAGATTTGCACAACATTCTACCAACACAGAATCTCCTTACTTTCTTAGCCATGTTTTAGTCGTTTATGTAATATTAAACTTTCTCGAAATGTATGCCTTGAACTGAAACATCTGTTTTATAGTGACGCCCGAGACAAAAAGCAGTCGCGCTGCTGAGATTCTACCGCCACGCACTCATGCGGTCAAACTGTCAACGAGTACATTGTGTCCAATAGATGGCAACCTATGGCCCGAGAGCTCACTGTGATATTTAGATAGGTTTTATCTCTAGTTTCTCAGGTATGTTAGATCTATTCAGAAATTATAATCGAAAAAATGCAAGAAATTAATGCAGATGAAGTCCACAGTATTTGTGGAACAGGTAATTACATTCTTCATTTGCAAAGCTTGCAACTGGGTGCCAGAAAGCTGAGGCATCTTAACTTCACATTCGGACTAATGAGCACCTTACCACCAGAGTTAAGGATGTCGGTGTGATGTAACTATCAACAGCGAAATTTTTCATTTGTTCGTATATCAGTTTGTTAGGTTAGGGCCAATAAATGAGAGGTACTTACCAATTCTTGACTTACAGGAACATCCGCGCAAGTCGGCCCGGTTCACTGGCTTCCCGCTGCCCCTCCCTATTTTTAAGTAGGCTTTCACTTTTTAATCACTTTTACAGCTGCAGAACATACAATTAAACACAATGCTTATACGGATGCAAACCGGTAGTTTTGTTGTTTCTACAGATTTGTGTGTTTCATGCTGAGTCTTCAGTCCATCACTCATTTGTTGCTTAGAGCATTTCTCCCCACTGAGATCACACTTTCCTTAATGCATCATAACAGTAATGTTTCTTCGATAAAAATTAACTAATAATCTGGTAATTAACTTTTACTCTTCTCCAAGTACAATTATAATGATCAAGTCAAGGAGGATGAGGTGGGCAGGGCGTTTAGCACGAATGGGGTAGAAGAGAAATGCATATATGATATTGGTTGGAAAGCCAGAAGGAAAGAGATCACTGGGAAGACCAAGGCGTAGGTAGGTGGACAATATTAAAATGGATCTTAGAGAGATAGGATGGGAATGCATGGATTGGATTGACCTGTCTCAGGATAGGGACAATTGGAGGGCTCTTGTGAATACTGTAATAAACCTTCGGTTTCCATAAAATGCTAGGAAATTCTTGAGTAGCTGCAGAATTGACAGGTCCTGAAGAATGGTTCAGTTCCATGAGTAAGTAAGTAACCTGAAAATTGTGAAGTTAAAAAACACAACATCACGCGTTTCTAACTGGGGTATGTAGCCTGTTATTTCGCTTTGCTTAGAAATTGCTGAAGTCCTAGAATTTACTGAGTTATCCCTGTTTGTTTCGTTCAGCAATTAACTGATAATTCTGAGCCCTGATCCCGGGGATGACTCTGTATAGTTCTAAGGAAAGCAAAGTATCATCTTTAAGTTCAGTTACTTAAAGTCAAACATAAAACAAAATAGCTGAAGGACAACAAAGCAATTTACAAAACGCTGAGTATGTGTTGCTGGGAGCCTTATATGTCTACATTTATATTATGGTTGTCCGGAATATTTAAATCTTATGGATCTTTGTTCAATGTCCTTCACTAAGTTGAATTAGTGGGACATAATGTTCTAGTGCCATACTCTCTCTCACAGATGAATAAAGATAAACGCATAAACTCTAGATCTCATATTTATTTTGATAATGTGTCATATTAGACACGAGTAGGCCTACGTCATTTCTGTTACTTATGTCAAGAGACGATTTACTAAAAAACTTCTTTTGTTACGCAGGTTCCGTGTGCCACTAGACATAACTGCTGACTTAGACAGATCTCAGAATGCCTTATTTGGATAAGTTTTATATTAATGGATGTCCGAAGTTCAATCCACATAGTTGGAACAAACGAGTGCTCCGGGGAATCCCAGGGAAATATATAGGATATATTTGTAGTTTTCCATTACTGTAGAGATTTGTGCCAGATCTCACATTCAGTCACTTATGCGTGTGTACATGTTTCTCGTTGCTGTATAATATACAGTAGTTTTATAATATAATTTTGAAAAGATACACAAACATATATATATATATATATATGGTCTATATATTTCGTAGAAATGAGTTGATTAACATTCAATTTTCATTTGTTTCTGAAAACTGTACTAGGATTTTAATAATATTTTCTTTTTCGTTGCAAATTTTCATTTCATAAACGAATGAAATATTGAATCTTGTTTATATGATAAGTGCGAATCTGTATAAATATGTACATAGAATGTAATTTAAGTGAGGAAATAACACTTTTAAGAATACAGCACACCGTATGTAGTAGCTGCCAGTAAGTTACATCTAACTGTAGATGTGTCAGAGTGTGCAGCTTGCGAAGTTTCTGTAAGTTTACCAGTAACTACAAAATGATTCGTCTTTGCATATATATATGCACTTCTGTATTATTAGCAGAGACTATCCGAAAATATGAACAATTTTGTTGTACGACTTCACCGCAGCGATTTATCCTCATCACTTCTGTTCGATTCTAGCCAACAGTCACAAAATTGCAATATCTGAAATAAAAGTTATAACAGAATAATTAAAGCGAAATTACTTCTCATAATCCCCTCCATAAACATATCATCTTTTATATATGAATCTCCTATTTCCCTAATAATGTGAATGAAATTCCTTAAGCAACGGGGAGAAGAGGAATGCATATAGGATTTTGGTGGGAAAGACAGAAAGAAAGAGACCACTGGGGAGACCAAGGCGTAGGTGGGTGAACAATATTAAAATGGATCTTAGATAGGTTGGGGTGGTATGGATTGGATTGATCTGGCTCAGGATAGAGACCAGTGGAGGGCTCTTGTGAAGACGGTAATGAACCTTCGGGTTCCATAAAATTCTTGGAAATTCTTGAGTAGCTGCAGAATTGGCGGCTCCTCCAGAAGGGCTTAGCTCCATGAGTAAGTAAGTAAGTAAGTAAGTAAGTAAGTAAGTAAGTAAGTAAGTAACACCGTGTTCATAATAGCCAAAAATTGCATTCGCTTCTCCAGATTCATTTCAAATGTCAGCTTTTTGAAATGAAAAACATCGCTCCCCATGTGTTGTATTGACGTATTGGCCTATTCCCCCCCCCCTTAATGTGAAAATTGAAGTTGTAATATTACCACGTTGTCTGTTTGGAAAAATAGGTAATTCAGTTCGATAATATCGAATTCTTTTTGTATTATTTCTTGCAATTTACAATCTACTCTACAAGGAAGCAATAAGTAAATATGTTGCAAGAAATCACTTGTGCGGAG